GCAGGTTAAGCTGTGCTTCCCAAAGCAGTTTGAACTTAAGGTGAGAGCGGCAAACATCCCTGAGTGTGATGGCTGGTAAGCAGATTTTCTGCCTTCTTGAGCAAAAACTACAATAAGGGAGACTGGGAAGAGAATGTGGGGGGGGGGTAAGGAGAATGACAACACGCTTTAGTGCTTACCATCAACAATATGACGGCATGTGGAAGGTCAGAGAGCTGAGAGCTACCTGGTTGACCCTCCACACTGTGCTGTCGCCTCATAATCTGCCTGTTAAAGGGACGTTGTGTAGTATTTTACGTATTTTATTAGCTAAAATCATTCACTTCATTTCTAAGTGTGTCCTCATTTGGTGTAAAATGATGCAATGATCTGACTTCTCCTCATAAGGAAGAATCTCCTATCTGTACGTACACAGGACGGGTAACTCTGAGGAAGTTGCCATGGCGATCCGCCATTTTGAAAAACTATAAGAGAGGGACATAAAGCACTAGTCTGCCTGTCTAGCTAAAAACAAGCTAACATGGCAACGTAAGTCTCTATCTTGTTGAAGGAAAAATTACCTGCTCACACTAATGATTCAATGCAGTTTTTAGTTTATTTTAACCAGAGAAAACTCCATCATGTGGAAGTCATGATGTCATTACTTCTTGATGCCTGACGGCTAGCGTAGCTGCAACACCGATTTGGAAACGGAGGCGCTAGAGAGCAGATTTGTTAGGATGCAGAACACAGTTTCACCATTAGATGGAAGGATTCCTGCTCCGTCTCCCTTTAAAATCTGATTTACTCAACCATTTATTTTCTAAATAAACCACAAACTACACACAGAAAGTGCAAGAATCCCAAAGCAGGTAAAAGATACAACCAATCGGTTTAAATACATCTTGAAGCATTTTTAAATCCACACTGATCTGGAGAAACTGCTCAGCCGGCTGTGGAGGAGCATCCCTCCTACTTCACCCTGGTTTTAAAGGCTCTGTGCTCCCGCCCCTCATTCCTCAGACTTCCTTATCCTAAAATTATAC